AAACAGCTCTTTGCAAGATAAATAAATTGAATGGAATTCCAGCATTTTGGAAAATGAGAAATTTTAAAATATACCATTAAAAAAACAAAAAAAATACTGAAGGGGAACAACAAAGTTGGAAGACTAGCACTTACTATAAAGCTACACTAATAAACACAGCATGATATTTGTGAAAGAATAAACACAGACGGCTGGCGCCACAGCTCACTTGGCTAATCCTCTGCCTGTGGCACTGGTACCCCCTTTTCTAATCCCGGTTGGGGCGCCAGGTTCTGTCCCGGTTGCTCCTCTTACAGTCCAGCTCTCTGCTGTGGCCTGGGAGTGCAGCGGAGGATGGCCTAAGTGCTTGGGCCCTGCACCCACATGGGAGACCAGGAGGAAGCGCCTGGCTCCTGGCTTCGGATCGGTGCAGCACGCCGGCTGTAGCAGCCATTTGGGGGGTGAACCAATGGAAGGAAGACCTTTCTCTCTGTCTCTCTCTCTCTCTCTCACTATCTAACTCTGCCTGTCAAAAAAAAAAAAAAAGAAAGAAAAGAAAAGAAAAGAAAAAAAGAATAAACACAGACAATTTGAATATAACAGAATAAGAAGAAACATGAGACCAGAAATAGTCACATACAAACAATAATCAATTGATCTTTAACAAAGGAGCAAAGTCAATAAAATGGGGAAAAGATCATCTTTTGAACAAACTGCCCTGGAACAAATGAACATCATAAGTAAATACAATTTTCATCATAGCAATCTAAAGCCAACAAAAATATTTCTTAAAAACTAATGTGAGATAAATATATTTTAAGATAAATAAAAAATAAACTTTTTTTTACCAAAAGTCCCTCACTAATTGAAATACTAAGGGATGCATTTCAAGCAAAATAAAAAAAATACATAGGGGGAAGTTGACAGGTGCAACAAGGAGTAAAGAACTGTGAAAATGAACAATGGCAGTCTATTGTAACCAATGAAATGTCATCATAAATAAATAAATAGATAGATAAATCTAGACACAAGATTTAAGAACTGTCAAAAAAAAGTCAAAGAACTGACCATAAAATACAAATATATAAAACTGCTAGATGATAACATGGCAGAAAATCTGGATGACCCAGTGTTTGATAATGACTTTTCAGATACGATACGCAAAGCACAAGCCGTGAAAGAATGAATCAATAAGTTGAACATTACTAAAATTTAAAATTTCTAGTCTGCAAAAGACACTTTCAAGATAATAAAACAGAAACCATCAGCAGGGAGAAAATATTTGAAAAAGTCATATCTGATAAAGAACTTACCCAAAATATACAAAGAGCTCTTATAATTCAACAATAGGAAAACAAAAAAAATATAAAAAGTTGGGCTGAAGACTTTAAATGACTTCACTGAGGAAAATATCTAAAGGGTAAATAAGCATATGAAAAGTTGTCCCACATCTTAATTGTTTAGGGAAATGCAAATTAAAACAACAATATAGTACTACCATAAAACTATTAGGATTAACAAAATCTAGAACACTGGAGTGTGTTTTTGCCCTGGTAATTAGCTGGGATTCTGTATCAGAGTACCTGAGTTCACTCTCTGGTTCTAGCTCCTGTCTCCTGATTCCTGTTAATGCACACTCTAGGAGGCAATAGTGATGGTTCTAGAGATTGGGTTCCTGCCAACCATGTGGGAAACCAGGAATGAGTTCCCAACTCTTGGCTCTGTACCCTGGCCATTGCTGGCATTTAGAGGTGAACCAGCAGATGGGATCTTTCTCTCTCTCTCTCTCTCTTTCTGTGTGTGTGTGTATCTGTCTCTGTTTCTCACTACCTCTAAAATAAACTTTGAATATTGTGGAAAATAGAATTAAAAGATAAGTTTAAAATAACAACACTAGTGATACTAAAATCCAGAGCACTGACAGCACCGAATACTGGTGAGGATGTGTTGCAGCAAAAACTGTCATTCATTGCTGGTGGGAATGTAAAATGACCTAGACACTTTGGAAGACGGTTTGACAATTTCCTACAAAGCTAAACATACTCATACCATATAATCCAGCAATTATTCTGCTTGGTATTTACCCAAATGAGTTGAACACTTATGTCCACAGAAATCTGCATGTGAATTTATGTATTTTCATTAATAACTGCCAACACTTGGAAGCACACAATATTTTCTTCAGTATGTGAATGGATAAACTGATGCATCCAGAAATGGAATATTAGTCAGTGCTGAAAAGAAATGAGCTTTCAAGCCATCGAAAGATAAAGGAAGGAATATAAATCGACACTGTTAGACAAATGTGAAAAGGCTATATACTGTATGATGCTGACCATATGACATGCTGGAAAAGGGAAAGCTATAGATATAGTGGCTTCCAGGGGTCAAGAGAGTGGGAGTGCTGAAAAGGCAGAATACAGAGAACATTTAGAGTAGCAAAGCTACTGTATGTGAAACTAACAGTGGATGCAAGTCATTATCAGTTTATCCCGACCCATTGAAGTCTATAACATCAAGAATGAACTCTGATGTAAAGTATGGACTTAGAGTGATAATGACGTCAAAGTAAATTGCCAGTTTTAACAAATGTAAAACTGTGTTGAGGGATGATAATGAAAGGGGAAGCTATGCAAGTATGGGGTCAGGGAGGCATATGGGAAATCTCTGGACCTCTCACTCAATTTTACTATAAAACTAAAACTCCTCTTAAAGAGAAGAGTACACTTTTTGTATTTAAGAGATATATATGTGTGTGTACACATATATATGCTATCCACTTCAATATAATTTTTTAAATAATAGACTACTGAGACATACAACACTATGGATGAACCTTAGCAATATAATGTTTAGAGAAAATAGTAAGTTATAGAATATTACACAGATGGTTAATCCCTTTTTGTAATATTAAAAACACCCAAAATATTTCTTCAGAATACATTTCGATACAGTAAAGCTAAATAAAACAGGAACAAGAGATTTAGGATAGGTAACCGAGAAGAATGTAATGGCAGAAGGAGAATACATGATTAAGTGTCAAATTATCATCAGGGCCTAGATTTTGTTTGGAGTGTTTGGTTTATAGGTACTTATTATATTGTAAAAACGGATTTACTAAATATAGAGTTAAAAGTAGTCCATGTAAAAGATTGAATAGAGTATGTTATGGAAAATGATTATAATGAAGCCATTTTTGTGCACCTGAGATCCCAAAATTCTTAAATAATTTAAAATTAACTTATCATGAAAAATACTTGATACCATCTTCACATCTTTAACAAGATGTGAAAGAATATGTGTTTTCAAAATATTTAAAGATATCTGATCTAGAAGACTTTTTCCACCTTTTATGAATAGAATTTTTTCCAATACCTTATGAAAATTAGAATACAACATGTCTACTCATTCTCTTTTCTGCAAGTCTAGTAACCCTATAAAGAAAGGAAATTGATACAGAAGTATAATTACCCAAAACTATATAGGACATTAGTTTGGGTTAGTGTTGATAAGTAATACATATATACACATACACATACAGTAGTTTTGTGCTCAAATATACTGGGGAAAGTCTATATGTCAAGTTATCCTATTGAAAATATATATTATGAAAGTATATTAAAAGCTATGCTAAGTCCTGTAATAAAGACATGTGAAGACACGTTTAAGTTTGCTTAATCTCATGTTTTCCAAATTTACTTGGTCACAGAACAATTTTCTTTCCAGTAATATCCAATCAATATTCCATGTTCTGAACTAATTTAAGTAACACGGGATAACATAATATATTTTTATAGATTATTTTTAATAGATTATTTTTTTATTTTTTTAGTTTTTATTTTTGACAGGCAGAGTGGACAGTGAGAGAGACAGAGAGAAAGGTCTTCCTTTTGCCGTTGGTTCACCCTCCAATGGCCGCCGCGGCTGGCGCACTGCGGCCGGCGCACCGCGCTGATCCGATGGCAGGAGCTAGGAGCCAGGTGCTTTTCCTGGTCTCCCATGGGGTGCAGGGCCCAAGCACTTGGGCCATCCTCCACTGCACTCCTGGGCCACAGCAGAGAGCTGGCCTGGAAGAGGGGCAACCGGGACAGAATCCGGCGCCCCGACCGGGACTAGAACCCGGTGTGACGGTGCCACAAGGCGGAGGACTAGCCTAGTGAGCCACGGCGCCGGCCTTTGCATAATATATTTTTAGTGAACACATATTCAGTTTGAGTGATCACCATTTCCTTACCAACGTACTTTTTAATACAAAGGCACATCAAAAAGTTTGCTGGGAGGGCCTACACTGTGGCACAGCAGGTAAAGCTGCTGCCTGCAGTGCCAGCATCCCATATGGACACCGGTTGGAGGCCTGGCTGTTCCACTTCCGATCCAGCTCTCTGCTATGGCTTGGGAAAGCAGTAGAAGATGGTCCAAGTCCTTGAGCCCCTGCACCTGTGCAGGAGACCTGGAAGACGTTCCTGGCTTTGGATCAGCATAGCTCTGGCTCTTGCAGCCAATCAGGGAGTGAACCAGTGGATGGAAGACCTCTCTCTCTCTCTCTCTCGCTCTCTCTCTTTCTCTGCCTCTCCTCTCTGTGTAACTCAGACTTTCAAATAAATAAATAAATAAATCTTTTTAAAAATATTTACTTATTTATTTTAAGGGGAGAGTGACAGAGTAAATGAGAAAGAGAGAGAGAGAGAGAGGGAAGATTTTCCACCTATTGGTTCACTCATCAAATGGCCTTAAGATCCAGGGCTGTGCCAGGATTAAACCAGGAGCCAGGAATTCCATCCAGGTCTCCCTGGTGGGTGGCAGGGGCCCAAGCATCCCCCACCTCTTTCCAAGGCATATTAGCAGAGAGCTGTATTGGAATGGATCTGTCAAGACTCAAACTGGTGCTCTGATATGGGATGCCAGCAATGCAGGAGGAAGCTTAGCTTGCTGTGCCTCTATTCTTAAGTTTGTAATAATGGTTCATCAGTTTAATATACCAATTTTCTCACTATTCTAAATTGTTCTCCTATGCCTCGTAGATGCTGAGAATTAGGACAAGAATATCATCTGTGACTATCAAGTCTGTAAGTATTTGAAACATGGTCATATACTACACATACTGTAAAGCACATGGATGCTATTGTTATGAAAAGACGCACAATAGAAAAGAATACTTATATTTCTGAATACAAAACTGGAAATAAATATTTTGCAGTACCTATTATGTGCCAAGCAATGTGTAAAGTAGGTATGTTCATTAATTCATTTAATTCTTCATAACAATCCACAAAAAAACTATTATTATCTCTGGCTTATGGTAACTAAAGCTGAGGCACCATACTTCAGTAACTTGCTCAAGGTCAGGTAACTAATAAAGAGACTAGCAATGTTTCTAAAATGGTTCATTTAATTCTATATATTTTTAATCACTGTGCTATACTGCCTCCCTGAGGACAAAGATCATATTTTATTTATTCCAAATTAATTCAGAATGTCTAGTATAGTAGTTGCTCAAAAAATATTCGCTGAATGAATGACTATAAATAAATGCATTTCACCTGAGCCTGAAAAGGAACGATCATGTATTCAAAGAGTTTATGTTCTCTAGGCAAAAAAAATCTCTATTTGTTTTGGAACTTTGAGTCCTATTTAATATTATGCTACACTTATGGAATGCTACACTATGGAATTCTATCTAAATACCATTAATGTCTTTCAATTGAATCCTTGAAATTCTGGAAAGAAAACAAAAGGAAACAGCTTAACAAACTTCCACATAACCTTGAATAAATGACTTGGGATGCGTGAGCTCTCCGTGAATAATTGCATGTAATGAGTACAGATGTTTTTGAAGGTTCAATTCTTATTTTCATCTAATGAGGCTCTGTTATTTCACTAGAGAGTAAAATATCATCTTAGAAATGGTAATTTCTAACTTAGGAGGAATTGTAGAAAATTTATTTCTAACTTTTTAATATCTCTCAGTTCACCATACTAAATCTCTAGGGGTTCATAATTGCATAAAGAAAAATGAATCCAAGTAAATAATTCTAATACAAGATCCTGATGAAAGCAATAAAGTAGACATAAGCAAGATACTATGGGAAGAGATTCAATAAGATGAGTTGGATCTGAAAAAGATCCATTCATCCATAAAGACAATTTGCTTGGCAGCTACCATGTGCTAGGCACTGTGCTCATGAGAGAGACACAGAGATTCGTTAAAACAAGATTCTAGGGTGGGCATTTGGCACATCGGTTAAGACACTGCTTGGGATGCCCGCATTCTGCAGAATGCCTGCATTTGTATCCTGGCTCTGCTTCCAATTCCAGCTTCCTACTAATGTGCAACCTGGGAGGCAGCAGGTGATGATAGCTCAAGTACTTAGGTCCCTGAGAGACAGGGAGACCCAAATTATGTTCTTGGCTTCTGGCTTCAGTCTGGCCCAGTTCTGACTATTGCAGGCATTTAAGAGTGAACCAGCAGATAGAATGACTCTCTGACTGTCTCTGTCTCACTTTCAAAAACAAACAAACAAAGAAATAATTAAAAAATTTCTATTCAGTTGTGTGTTTTTAAAATATCACCAAATAACCCTTATAGGAAATTATCCTAGAAAATATAAGAGTGATGGGGCTGGCGCCGTGGCTCACTTAGTTAATCCTCCGATGAACCCAGCACCGGCATCCAATATGGGTGCAGGGTTCTAGTCATGGTGGCTCCTCCTGCAGTCCAGCTCTCTGCTGTGGCCCGGGAAGGCAGTGGAGGATGGTCCATGTGCTTGGGTCCTGCACCTGCATGGGAGACCAGGAAGAAGCACCTGGCTCCTGGCTTTGGATCGGCATAGCACCAGCCGTAGCCAACATTTGGGGAGTAAATCAATGGAAGGAAGACCTTCCTCTCTGTCTCTCTCTCACTGTCTATAACTCTACCTGTGAAATAAATTTAAAAAGAAAAGAAAATATGAGACTGCTTATTTCTCAAAGCTGAAAGTGAAAATTCTCTCTCATTGTACTTCAGTGCATATTTCTATTATTATCAGTGAGACTGAGCTTTGTGTATGCATGAGGAATTTATACTGCATTTTTTTGAACTGTGCATTCATGTCCTTTTTCTGTTTTTCTATTATGTTGTTTATTTTTCTCTTATCAATTTCTAGAACTTACTTATAAACTGGGAATAATAGTTCTTGTCTGTGATAACTACAAATATTTTTCAAGCTGGATGAGAAGCAAGAGGAGTCAAGACTTGAACCATGCTCTGATATAGAATCTGGGTGTCCCAGGGGACAGCTTAACCTACTTCACCACAATGCCTGTCCCTGGTCTGAATGTTTCACTAGTTTAAATGGCCTTTCCTATTTCTTGGTAATAATCAAATGAACCTTGCTTTTCTTTTTGTCTTTTTATAGCTTTTTTTCTTTCTGCATTTGTTTTTGTTTTCTGGATGTTATGACAACACATTTATGCCTATTCCCTCCTTTGATTTTTGCTGGAACATGCAACAGATTCCAGACATCATGTCAATTCACCTCTCAGTACCTGGGTGTACTTATCTAATTAATAGGACTTATTTTTCCACATAATCACCATGTCATTATTATACTTACCAAAATTAACAATAATTCCTTAATAGTACCTAATACCCAGATTAGGTTAAGTATTTCATGATTATCTTCAAGATGTTTTTTAATTTTATTCAAATATTTATTTATTTATTTGAAAGGCAGAATTACAGAGAAAGGAGAGACAGATAAAAGAGAGATCTTCCATCTGCTAGTTCACTCCCCAAATGGCTGCAATGGTGGGGCTGGAGCAGGTTTGAAGGCAGTAGCGTGGAACTCCATCCGGGTCTCCAACATGGGTACAGGAGCCCAAGCACTTGGGCCATCTTCCACTACTTCCCCAGGCTCATTTGCAGGGAGCTGGATGGGAAGCAGAGCAGCCAAGACTCAAAGCAGTGCTCATATGGAATGGCAGTGTCACAGGCAGCTGCTTAACCCACTGTACCACAATGCTGGCCCTCAAAGTTTTGTTCGTTTTTTTTTTTTTTTAACAAAAACATCTCTTAAATATGAGAACAAAGTTCATACAGCACATTTGGTTGTGTCTCTTAAGTTTGTTTTATTCTTCCTCCCTCTTCTTTTCTCCTTGTTACATATATAAATCTAAACAGCAGGCAGAGAGAAAAGTACAGAGTCACTCTGAAATTTAATGTAGAATCTTTTCAAATTCTTTGAGGGGCACAGAGAGAATTTACAGAAACAAATAACATTTCTCTTTTTCTAGCATATTTAATTTGATCAAGACACATGATTCATAAAAATAATTTGCTTTTGATAAATCTATGGCATTTATCTAGGATGTTTCAAATATTTCCTTGTGAACATTGTTATCGGTTCTCATTTTATATACTTATTGTTATATTTGAAATATTTTCTAAAAGGAGGACAAAATAAATTCAGTAATGTATCATAATTTGGGCACAGTATATACAATGACCCTGAAACTGTGTGGTTGGAGTGTAATGATCAAGGATTGGAATGACTTGAGATGAGTTACAAAAAGTAAAGCAGATGCCAAACCATGCAGGACTGCTAGGCATTAAAGGATTATTTTTAATACTGAGAACAGGTCAACGAAATGTTTTTTAAGTTTGCAGTTGTAATAACTTTCAACTCAGAAAAATTCTTAATATTTCTATATGTGATTAACTAGCTCACATGAGTATATACATGGGAATATAAGCTGTTTGGCTCTCATCCATCAATATATGAGGCAAAACTGAGTGCATTTTTAAAAAATATATATTTTTGTCAAGCCTAGAAACATGCCATTACATTTCTGTCCACATTTCCACCAACTCTTCATGTTTATGCATAACTAGAACTGACCTAATATCTGACATATAATTCAGAGTTCAAAAGTTTCTATTTAAAAAATACAAGTTATATTTGTGAAAAAACACAACTCCTGCAATCATATTTTCAAATTTTATTTCAGTGCCATTCATTTTCCTTCTTACCTAAGAGGCATGTTTCTCTGTGATGAAAGATGTAATTTCAGTGCCATTGGTTGACTCATTTATAAAATCCCATTTTCTCATATATAGATCTCCAAAGTGCATATTATCAATCACTTAATATTCATCAAATAAGATTTAAGGTAATTGCAATATGCAAATTGGATGTTAAAATAAAAACAGATTCTCCTGAGTCACAATAACAATGTGCCATTCATGTGACTGTTATATACATTTTTCCAGGTTCATTTCCATTTCTCAAAACCAGCCTTCTTAGAAGGCAACGTATTGAAACACAAAGAGCATGAGGATTGAAATCAATCAGAAGAGTACCACAAACTGCAGTTTTGTTGTATACTTCAGAGGGTCGTAGTCTCTCTGAGCCTCAGTAGTGTTCATCTACAAAATGGTAATAATATTACTTAACATGCAAGATTGCAATGAGGATTGAGTGAGGTAGATTATATAAAGTATTTGGCACATAGCAACTACTTAGTATCTATGATATTTTATTATGGTATTTAATAATTTGAGAGATTTGATAAAGAGATTTGAGATGTATTAGGATTTTTCAGCATATATTACCAGTTAGCTGATAACCTTTCATTGATAATTGACATATTTGATCAATGATATGTCTTGTTGATAATCTCTCATTGATAGTATTTGGGAGATCATTAAATTTATTATTTTTTAAGATTTATTTTTAAAAAGGTTTATTTCTTTTTTAAACTCAGAGTCACAGGGAGAGAGAGACGGGGGGGAGAGAGAGAGAGAGAGAGAGAGAGAGAGAGAGAGAAATCTTCCATTTGCTGGTTCATTCCCCAGATGGCTATAAGAGCCATCACTGGGCCAGAAGAAAGCCAGGAGCCAGGAGCTTTTCTGGGTCTCCCAAGCGGGTACAGGGGCCAAAGCACTTGGGCCATCTTCCTCTGCCTTCTCGGGCCATTAGAAGAGAGCTGGATCAGAAATGGAGCATCTGGGACATGAACCAGCACCCACATGGGAAGCCAGCATCGCAGGTGCAGCTTTACCCACTACACCACTACGCTGGCCCCTGAT